TCTCTCGTATATATAAAATTTAAAAAAAGATATATGTATATATATGTATATAATATTGAAAAAGCTTTTTTTAAAATATTATATATTTTTTTACTAAAAAACTTTTTTTTAAGAGAAGCTGAATTAATATTACTAATTTATTCTTTTTTAAATATTATGTCACGTTTGAGAAGCATTACTATCAAAACATTTTAAAATTCGTACCTCGAAAGCAAGCCTTGCCAAGGTCCAAAAGAATCCGGGCCGCTGCTTACGAATTTGCCTGACAACCCTTTTTGTCTCTTCAGAGATGTTCATTTCCGCAATGATTTCGTCTTCAATGGTGTTCTTTATCTCGATGTCATTCTTGTCGGTATCTTCGGATAATACTTTGTCTAGCAAGCTCATTTTTTTCATTATTTCTTCGTCAATTTCTCGAGTCTCTTTGCGCTCCAATTGTGCAGCATTTTCCTTTTTAGGAATTTTTTTATTTCTAACAAATTTGGAGGGAGAATTATAGTTTACGGTCTGTAAAATTTCTTCTAACTCATATTCTGGCATGGATCTTGCTATATTTTTCTTCACATTGTTTTCAGAGTAGTGATCCTTAATAAGTACCCGAGGTTGCATCAAATTATGCTTAGGATGATAAACATTGTATTGTGAACGTTTTGGAACATTGGACTGGAACTCTTCTTCCGAAGAAACTGATTCTGTCTGTATCGATCGAAATTGATAATGTGCAGGATCGTTGATTTTGTAAGGGATCCGGTCTGACTTTTCGGCTCTGCTACAAAATGAACTGATCAAATAAAGAAGCAAGCAGTTGGCTGCAAAGGAATTGATTGATGACATATACATCTGCAAAAAAAATATGTATAGGATTGAGAATATGTGTCATAGAAAATTAATGAGAAAAACATTTTTAATAAAATAACTAAGGTATATTCAAATTTGTAAAAAAAAATCTTTAAAAGAATATATGAAAGTTTATTTTTAAGAATAGGTAATAGTTGTATTATTCAATGACGTCGAATAATATAATAACTATCTTTTGAACTTTAATATAAAAAAATAAGATATTACGTATTATGTATATTAAATATAAAAAATGTCTTATAACACAGTAGTTCATAAAATTACATTTCATAGGACCAAACAAATATCATGCAGTGAGAGTTGAACGATGACTGCACAAAAAAGATTTAGCAGTTATTACGTAAATCGACTGTCATCATTTAGTGAAATAAGGAAAGTATCTGCCAAAGTAAAACCACAACAGGAAAATTGCCAATTGCAGCTTGAGGAACAAAACGCTCGTACATATTACGATCCATTACTTAGTAAATCAATTACATAACTTACGATATTTTTTAAAGAGACATAAAAATCGATTTTAAAAAACTTAAAATTTTTTTATTTCTAAATAAGGATTTTATTTGATTTTTACAATTTATTAAATAACTTATTAAATTAAAATAATCTATGCCTTTAAGCAATAAGTTTATATTTGTTGACTTACATTGACAGCAACTTACATTGATAGCTTTTAAATCCAGATACACGTTCTAAAACATTTTTTCTCTTTAAGCTCACATACATTTCTTCAAAGATTATTCAATCACTTAGCGTGCTACCTTCTTCAACACTTATAAGCACACTGTTTTACAATGCATCTTGAAGCGGTATTAATTTCAAATCTTTACGCAAGAGAGTCTTGATTCCGAAACCTTTTCCGCTGGGAAGTTTATGCGTCACTCATGGTTTGCGGTAACAAAACGGCAGTTTCTATCATTCCTTTACGCACGATCGTTCGGGAAATTGTTTCCCTTCGACCTAACACGATGATTGCAATGTATGACTGTTGCTCGATGGCCCACGTCGCTGATCGAGTCTGACTATCGGCCAATGCCAGCGATTCGCTCCCGGTCATTCGAAGATTTCGACAATTCATTTCGATCTCTTCACAGTACGTGACGCGAACGTGTAACGCGTGAATTAGTGGTATAAATTTAATCGTGCATGTTACAAAATAATAGAGCCTAATGAATAACTGATGTTCCAAAATTTGAACTCCCTGCGTTTTATTTTATAGACGATTGGCGCTTTAACAGAAAGAAGTTGCTAAATGTATAAAATATTTGCAAAATATTATAACTAGTTAATTATTTTAGATATTACGGTTTATTCATAAGAAAATTTCTTGCGAGTCATACAATTACATGATATTTAATATTAGTGATTATTGAATAATATTAGTCAACAGATTTTTAGTGACTGATTACGTCGCGGTAATTTCTGAGACGATCGTACTGTAGCAGCCTGAATTGCACATGCCATGCACAAGCCCACGTAAAGTCGTAAGACTTTCTACTTCCATGAAGTATAATATATCGAGCGAAGATTTCTATCGATTGCGAAAATGCGGGCATACGTGAAACGATTTAAGTGGAGCACTTGAATCGTGCTCAAATGGACATCTTTCTGGACATCTACAATCCGCACTAGTTTTAGATACAAGTTTCACTTCCTTTGCATTATATGATATTCTTCATACAAAGAAACAAAAAACTAAGAAAGTAGAAACTAAAAAACATAGTTTTTATCAAAAAAAGTGCCAAGATTTTAAAGTTCATTAAAATTAATGGTGATTTACAATCATTAATCTTAATTTTCAATAATCTTAACTTTTTACTAATATTCTATGTTATAATAAAAGTAAGTTATTATAAGAATATAAATCTTTAAATTGTAATATTATTAAACTTTATGAAACAAAAATTTTTATTAAAATAAAATTTACCAAAAAATTATAAAATTTAGAAAATTAACCAAAAAATACAGTCTTGTTTTTATCTTAGTGAAGTTCTATTTACAAAAAACAAGTCAAAAGTTATTTATATGTAAATACTTTTAACAATGAAAAAATTATTGCAAATTTATTATAAAATTTGTAATTAAAATTAAAATTGTTATAGAACACTCTATTAACACTGATTCGATTATTTTAGTTTTTTTGTCATCAACTTCCATTTTTTTAGCACATGTTTAACTCATAAAATTAGATATATTTATTTTTTATCACAGCTGCACAACATTAAGACACTAATTTTCACGATAAATGATTATTGGCCTCGGCATCCTTTCCGGAGATCAGCAACCGCGGTACTTAACCGTCCTTGCCTTCGAAAATCTGCCTGAGGTTCAGATCCACGTGGACTACAGTGCAAAACGACTTCCATCTTTCACTTTCACTATTCGTAATCACATACGTAATCGAGATCGGTTCCGTTATACACGCCAGTATACTTTTTTTGTAATAGTGTGGGTTTAGGTAAAGATAGCAATGCATCATCATCATGACAATAACCTTTTTTTTTACGATTTCTTCTATAAGTATTAATTATCAAAATTATTGAATAATTTAGGTTTTAACGTTTAATGTCAAGTATTTTGAGATATATAAAAATATATTTATCAAATTAGTTAAAACATTTAAAAAAATTATTAAGCTCTTTTAGCAAAATGCGCAAATAAAAAATAGCACACACCTTACGCCAATCACAGCAATTTTATATTTAATCCGGTTTCGTTGGAATGTCAAATTTTCGTAACACGCTCTGACTGCTAAGGTCACTTATCGTTAATTACGTTGCTGTGAAAGGTATATGTACAAAACATAAATTCATTTGCGTTGAAAAGTAATTGAAAAGTTAGTTTGCTATTTAAATTATTATATAAAAATTTAATGATGCTAATGAAGTTTTGTATAAAATTTTCATTCTCATAACATAGAGGAAAAATATTGCAAGAGTCGCGAAAACAATGGCACTTACATTTAACAGTCAATAACATATACCTTTCAATGCAATAAGAAAATAATAGTATTTATATATCAACTCTTAGCGTCATCTTATCACTGCGAATTTATTCAATATGACACGAAATTTAGTTTAAAAACGTATAGACATAAAGTTTTACGTGGTTCATGTACATAAAATACACTTCTTTTTGTATTTGCTTATTTTATATACAATATGTCAGTATTTACTTATCTTACTGTCTATGTATGTCAATATATTACTTATCTATTGCTACGTGTTTATGCACGTCTCTACTTATTTACTGTCTACATTTGTAGAGCAATTTTGATCTAACGTAAAATAAGACAAAGTAAACATTGAATAAGCAATTGTTCGCTGTTGAATTATTTCTATTTTCTTGTTATGTACTTAATAACTAAATAATTATTTATAATATAAAAACACTTTCTTAAGAATCGTCCTTACTGTATATTGAGTTGCTTAAAATCACAACACAAAATTATAAATTTAAAATTAAATAGGTAAAGAGTAGCGAGTCACTGACCATAGCGGAAGAAAATAACCTCGGAAGATAAATATTGCAGCTATAATTGTAGTTACTGATTATGCGCACGCGAGATGTGTAAAGGTTATATATCTTGATGAATTGCTACATTGTAAGTCACAGTTGCAAGCCTATGTGATAAAGATCTCCTACAATTTTTACAAAGACAAGGTTTTGACCGAATGTTCCTTGTAATTATGGCTTACAATTGTATTGTATTAAAGATTGTAATTATAATAGACAAGGGATTATAATAAACAGGATTTTAAAAAATGTTTTACATAATACAAGATATAAATAAAATTACATTTAAAAAAGGATTTTAATTGAAATTTGAAATTAAAACAATTGTATTCTAAAAAAATATTTAGTCTTCTATAATGACTATAATATTTAGTCTTCTATAATTACTTACAAGTAATTTTATCAATTTTAGAATTAACTTTAACTCAATCAATTTTATTTATAAATTAAAAAAAAATTTCTTCATTTTTTATTTGTAAATTTTTCACTCTGAATTTTTATTTTATATCTATCTTGACAAAATTTTCGTCGTTGATGAAGTTTATAAAAACTTACATAATATAAGATGTTCTGCAAAATTATTGTTACGTTGCATTATTACAATAATGATTTTCTTCTACATATGGCGGCATAGTCGTTGCATGTAATGCTACTATTTGAGTAAATTATTTGATGATATCACTACTTGATTAAATGTTATGATTTATAAAATTTTTGTTAAAAAAAAATTAGGTTTTAGATCTTTTTGAAGTAAACTTACGTTTTTATTAAGAGCAAAACCTCAAAGATGCAAACTTCAAAGTTAATCGTTAGTTGATTGCTCATGTTTCCTACCCATGTCATGTAGAAATAAAAAAAATATACAAAAAAGTATAACATGTAATCTGTTCTACACGCAAGCACGGTACTTCTATATTGCGTAATAAGTATAGACAATTTGTTTGATTGATTTTATTTGCTTTATTTAAACGTTATTATTTTACGAATATAAAAATAAGCTTAAAAAAAGAAATACAACAAAGATTTTAATTCTCTAATAAATTGTAAATCGTATAACCAATTGCGGTTGCACAGTTTTTGGTAGAAACTTTGCAGCTCGGAAAATTTCTTAGGAAAAAGTAGTACATATGTACTATAAAAAAACTTACATCTTGAATTCTAATTTAAAAGTCATATATACTTTAGTATTTAGTGCAAAAAAAAAATATAAGCCTATCAAACATCATTTATCGTTAACATAACTGTTAGTTATAACTTCCCATTCAACAATATAAAGGAAAGTCATCGACTGACAAACAACTTTATTTTTAGACAATATTTCTTAAACTAAAGATAAAAATAAAACAAACTTTAGAAAATAAACTTTAGAAACATAGTACAAACTAAAAAGTGTCTTCCATTACATAGTAAAAGCAGTTTTTATAATATTGGTGTAATTTTGGAATTAATTTTTTCATAAGATAAGCAAAAATGAGCGTCTGACAAAATGAACTCCCAAAATTGACACAGTACACAGTAATGCCATATATTCCTATTCTTTTTCTTTTACCGAAATTATCTGTATAAAAGATCTGTGAATATAATATATAAAATATTCCAAAATCTCTTTACTTTATAAAACTTTTTTATTGGATTATATGCATATTTATATTATACTTTACGCTGTTCTGCAACATGCAAATATGTAACGCGATAGTTTTTCAAGAGTTTTTCCATATATACACGACTGTTTTCAGCTTCAATAGAGCTATTTGACACTATAAAGCAACATTATAAAAATTAAAATTAAATTAGCTTATGATCTGTTTTATAGATAGGTGTGGAGGTTTATGCTGCACTCCAATTTTAAATTTTAAATGTATGTATAATGAAAAAACTAAAAGAAAAAATAGTATAAATAAAACTAATTTAGGAAATTACAAGCATTTAAGATGACGTAATATTATCAATAATATAGTCACTATTATATGAACTAAGCAATTTGCAGAAAAAAATCGTAAGAATTTTATTTTCACATTCGTAAAATTTTTTTTTTAGCTGATATAGTATAAAAACCAATTACAAATACCTACACAAATTATGAGTTTGTACTTCCTTAATTAGTTAAAGATTATGATTTTATTAAAATTAATAAAGTGCAATAGTTAGTTTCTGAAAAATAAGGGGGTATCACTTTAGGAAACCTATGTCAGTATCAACGACTTTCCTCTACTATAATATAGCATATGTGTTATATTGTAATTGAAATGTTATATTACAGTTATATTGTTGAGTGGCAAATTATAATCAACAATTATGTTAATGTTAGTGTTTGCTGGGATATATGTATTAATATAAGTAGAAAAATAGGCTGGTAAGTAACATACAAGAGAAAGAATTGCATATTCAGTTGAAGCGAGTCTTGACATTTACATAATAATATATGTACATAGGATAGAACGCAGTTTTTTCATCCATTTTTCGAGATAATGTTTATGTTTCTTGTACTAAAGAAGTTTTAATCGTGATTGTTAATTATGTAATTATAAGCATGCACAACAATGCAAAGAGATATTGTTTGCTGTATATATATAAATTTTCGTATTACTTTTTAAAGTTGAAACTGATAAAATAACCTTGCTTTACCCTTATACATAAAATTTTAAATAAAACTTTGAGTTTTGTACCGCGCGCCAATTCGGTTAATTGAACTTGGAATGTCCGAATCACATAAATGTACTGAAGTAGAAAAAAATACTTAATAACTACTCATCAATCTAATAATAATACTAATGAATGCATATAATACAATATATGTAATAAATATTTATATGTATAATATATAGTTAAATTGACCTTACCTTCCTATTGGGCAGATATTTTTGTTAAAAGATTATTATTTCTTTTGTGCTATTATTATTTTAATTATATCACACTGATATATGATTGTATCGGGTTCTTTCGTATCATCTATCGCGTTGGTATATATATAAGCACAGTCAATGAACCGAAAACAAGTGCATCTTGCAGGACGGCAAAGCCAGCACTAGTGAGAGATGATTTCTCTCCGTCTCACGACATCTCCAATCGGCCTCGAAGGTCGTCAGCATTTTTACGATACTTCTTACGTATTCTCTGTGTAAACAGAATAAATTGACAAAATTCTTTGCCGGTTCCGCTGTTGTCCAGAGACAATACTGCAGAGACTTTTCGATATAAGAAATGATATACGTTTTTAATGCCGTTA